AAGTTTAAAACAGCAAGCCCGTGTTGCCACAACAGCAGTCACAGGCATTACATCAACATACATTATCCGACATGGCAAGTGAGAGAACTGCACAGTTTTATAATTTGAAGCAAAAAAGGTCCGCACATTCTATGTTTTTGTTAAAATAAATGAATGACATATGAGCTTGATCTAGGTATGCTTGAATACAGTACAACATGGTAACGTTAGAAATAAACAGGTGATGGTCGCTAAACCGAACATAAACTTCGCCTAATCTGGGCGATTAAAGAGGTAGGGTGTAGTGTCGCCCTGCTAGCCAGTGTGGCCTCCTAAAGCTATGTACCTCAGCTCGCTGAAGTCAAGGACACAGCGACATGAGTGGTAGGGCTGTGAGTGATAGGGTTAATCTGGGTAAGTGTAGCGAGCTCTTTGAAGCATTTATCCCATACCACTAGCATAGCTATAGTTAAGTGGCTAGACTGCATGTGCTAGTGTGGATAGTAGGTATGCATTTGACTAGTGTACATAGATGAGCATTGTAAAAAACAAGTATAGGGCTGAATTAACTGACAGGATGTCAAGCTGTAATGGAGTGAACCACCCTGTCCTTATGAGAGGTATGTGCTATTCATATGGTGTATAAATGGATTAGACATGGTGGGCGTGAGATAGCGAGCTTAGGCTACTTCATTGTGACCCAAGGTGCGTGTTACCACTGGAATGGTATTCGGGGAGGTCACGGTGTCAGTGGCGTACACATGACCCATGGGGCCCCGGTGCGAAAATTGATTCGTGGGCCCCCCCCCCCACCCCCGCGCTTACTCGGCGCGGGCTGGGGCCGCAACACATGGCGGTGGGCACCTGGTCGCAGGGGTTGCAGGGCTGCGACCCCGCGACCGCGGTATGCACACACACTTGCAGACACCCAGATCACATCAGCTCAATGAAGTGGTCTGGGTGCCAGGTCCTTGTAGTTTTAACCCTGCAGCTGAAAACACAGCAGTTTCAGAGAAACGGCTATGTTTCACTGAGGGTTAATCCAGCCTCTGGTGGCTGTCTCATTGACAGCTGCTAGAGGAGCTTCCGCGATTCTCACTGTGAAAATCACAGTGAGAAGACACTGAACGTCCATAGGAAAGCATTGAGTAATGCTTTCCTATGGGCGGTTTAAATGCGCCCGCCTCTTGCCGCGCGTGTGCATTCGGAGCTGAGAGGCGGAGGGATCCCAAGCACCAAGGGAGTCCGACGCTGGAGAAAGGTAAATGCTGCAGACACCCAGATCACATCAGCTCAATGAAGTGGTCTGTGTGCCAGGTCTCTCTAGTTTTAACCCTGCAGAAAGGTAAATGCTGCAGACACCCAGATCACATCAGCTCAATGAAGTGGTCTGGGTGCCAGGTCCCTCTAGTTTTAACCCTGCAGCTGAAAACATAGCCGTTTTAGAGAAATGGCTATGTTTCACTGAGGGTTAATCCAGCCTCTGGTGGCTGTCTCATTGACAGCTGCTAGAGGAGCTTCCGCGATTCTCACTGTGAAAATCACAGTGAGAAGACACTGAACGTCCATAGGAAAGCATTGTGTAATGCTTTCCTATGGGCAGTTGAAATGCGCGCGCCTCTTGCCGCGCGTGTGCATTCGGAGCTGAGAGGCGGAGGGATCCCCAGCGCCAAGGGAGTACGACGCTGGAGAAAGGTAAATGCTGAAGACACACACACACACTCTCACGAACAGACGCATACACACTAGCTAACAGACACACACATTTACTGACAGAGACACACTCAGCGACAGACATACATAGACACTCACTTACAAAACATACACTTTCACTGACAAACACACACTCACTAACAGACATCAAACACACTCAGTAACACACACACACAGTAACACACTCACTAGCAGACACACTCACTGACACACACACGAACACAAACACACACACACGAACTCACAAACAAAAACACACACTAACACACAAACAAAAACACACACTAACACACACACACTAACACACAAACACACGCACACTAACACACACACTAACACACAAACACACACACTAACACACAAACACACACACAAACACACACACTAACACACAAACACACACACTAACACAAACACTAACACACAAACACACACACTAACACAAACACACACACTAACACAAACACACACTAACACACACACACAAACACATTTTTTTTTTAATTTAATCCCCCCAGCCTCCTTACCTTTTGGAGTGCTGGGGGGATTCCCTGGGGTCCAGTGGTGCTGCTGGGCTCCTGGGCGGGTGGCCAGTCGGGCAGGCAGGCGGGAGGGTGCGCGAGGGAGCACTCAGTGCTTCCTCTTCAGCTCCCTTGCGCGGCTCTGGTATCAGTGCGGTGCGCGAGGGAGCTGAAGAGGAAGCACTGAGTGCTCCCTCGCGCGCGCGCCTGCCCGACCGGCCACCCGCCTGCCGGGTGACAGCAGGGCCAGCCTCGGGGGGCCCTGAGGTGGCCGCCTGCTGGGCCCCCAGGGGAAGAGGCTGGCCCTGTGGCTACATACCGGGTCGCAGGGGCGGCCGGGCCCCCTGGTGGGCCGGGCCTGGTCGCAGTCGCGACCCCTGCGACACTGGTATGTACGCCACTGCACGGTGTTAAATGGGCTGTGGTGGAGGACCCTGGGTGTTGCTCAAACTGATAGTCCCCGTGATCCGTAGCCGGAGCGAGAGTTCACACCTTTGTGTAGGTGAAAAAGGAGCAAACGTCCCAGTGAGCAGTCCCAGGCTCAGAGTCCCGGTTCAAGTGGTGGCTGCCGCATAGGGTTCCGCTGGTCTTTGCCTTGGCACAAATTCCGGTGCGCTGGCCGAGTGTGTCCCGAGGCTGCAGCTCGTGGGGCCTCTCTGCGCTGATGCAGCTTCCAGGGTTGACAGTGGGAGGTTTAGCTTCTCCAATGCCTCTGTGGCCTCTTGTAGGTTCCGGGCCAGCACGGGGCCACTTGCGCTCTCTATGCTCAGAGTCCGGCCGGGTTCCCAGCGGTATCGGATCTGTTGCTGCCGTAGGAGAGAGGTGACCTGCCGGAGGGACCTTCTCCAGGACAGTGTGCCACTCAATAAATCCGCATAGAAAGAGAGGGACATTTCTTCAAAGGTGTATGTTGGCCGGCCCTTGATGGCGTCGAGTACTGCCCTTTTGTCTCTTGCTGTTTGAAAGCGGAGGATTATATCACCAGTGGCCGTTGGTGGGGCTGTAATCGGCTTTGGGATGCGAAAAATCTCATCCAGCAGGATCGTTCTTACCACTTTTGGAGTCAAGAGCGCAGTTAGCAGTCGCCTGGTAAGGTGAGGGAGCTCTGCTTCAGGAATGGAGTCCGCGACCCCCCTTAGCTTCAGGTTATTTTGGCGTCTCCTATCTTCTTGGGTGGCCAATTGTTGTGCATGAAGTGTCGCTTGTTTTTTCAGGTCGCATACCGCTGCTTGCAGTTCCGCAATCTGGCTTATGTGGTCTCTGGAGGTGTTTTCCACCGTTCCCAGCCGGGTGCACAGGCCTTGCAGGTCTTTCCGGATTGTTGCCACCTCCGTTGAAATTTTTTCGTGGTGGGAGGCCATGAGTGCCGTGATAGCCTCCATGGTGACCGGCATGTGGGTTGAAGCGGGTGGTCGAGGTTTCTCAGAAAGTGGTGGTAAGCCTGTTGGTATGAGGCTCCCTTCTCCTTCATCGGATGTCTCATCCGAGAAGTCTGTACATCCTCCATGTAGGGACTCCATTGTTGCGCTCGCGGCCTCGTGGGCCTGCCTCCACATGTCCCCGATGTTCATACCCTGACGGGGCTTGTCGGGCTTTGGCTTCTTCGTTTTTCTGCCCATTGTTGTCCGGTGTGTTAAGGGCACCTTGGGGTCCGTTGGGTCGTGTTGGGCTTCGATATCAGCAGATTTGTATAGTTTTAGTTGGGAGCTCCTCGGCCATGCGACTATCCTTGTCCGTAGCTTGACTCCGCATCTTATTTTTTTTTTAAAACACCCTTCTTTTGAAAAAATATTCCGCACTTGCGCGAAAACTTGTGGGCGGTAAGGACATTTTTTCAACCAAAAAGATGCATTAGTGGGCGTTTGGTAGAAAAAGGTTGACTACCACTGCTATAAAGTATCAATATCCTTCTGGAGATACGGTCTCCAGTATTGCGTACAATACTCCAAGTGAGGTCTCACCAGTGTTCTGTACAATGGCATGAGCACTTCCCTCTTTCTACTGTTAATACCTCTCCCTATACAACCAAACATTCTGGTAGCATTTTTTTGCTGCTCTGTTATATTGTCTGCCTACTTTTAAGTCATCTGAAATAATTACCCCTAAGCCCCTTTCCTCAGATTTCTATACTCTGCACTTGTTTACGTCTAAGATACATTATCTTGCACTTATCCACATTAAATGTCAGTTACCACAGCTCTGACCATTTTTCTAGTTTACCTAATCATTTGCAATTTGGCTTATCCCTCCAGGAACATCAACTTCCTGGGGGGATAAGCCAAACTGTCTTTACTTTTGACAGTTGAAATAGAACCTCTTCCTCTGTAAACTCACATGTAACAAATTACTCATTTGTCCTTTTTCCTAACTGAGGACCCTTTCCTTAATTTTCATCTGTAAATACTAAACAAAAATATTTATGGAGGCAGTCAGCTAGACCTTTATCCTCTTCTACATACCTTCTTTCTTTTCTTTTTTTAATCTAACTAATCCTTGTTTTTCTTTTTTTTTCTTATTTATGTATCTAAAAAATGTGTTATCCCATTTTTTACTAACTGTGCTATTTTATCTTCTGTGTGTGATCTGGAAGCTCTTATAATTTGCTTAGCCTCTTTCTGTCTAATTTTATAGATCTGTCTATCGTCCTGTTTTTTTTTTTGTCTAATTGCTAACTTTTAGTTTTTTACTTTTTTGGCCACTTTTGTGGATTACCACAAGGGTTTCTTTAATTTTTTGCTCTTACTGGTAAGCATAGGCGTGCGCAGCCTATTGCATTAGGTGTGTGTGTGTGTGTGTGTGTGTGCATGTGTATATATATATATATTTATATATATATATATATACACATGCACACACACACACACATATATATATGTATACATATATACTGCTGTATTGTGCTGTTAGTGTGCTAATGTGCTGTTAGTGTGATGTGTGTGTGTGTGTGTGTGTGTTTGTGACTGTGCTGTTTGTGTGTGAGGGTGTTTGTGTGTGTATGTTTGTCCTGTGAGGGTGCTGTTTGTGTGAGTGTCGTGTATTTGTGAGGGTGCTGTTTGTGTGTGTGTGTGTGTGTTTGTGAGGGTGCTGTTAGTGTGCTGTGTGTGAGGATGTTGTGGTTTTTTTTTAAAGATGCTGTGTGTGTTTTGTGAGGGTGCGGTTAGTGTACTGTGTGTGTGTGAGCTGTATGTGTGTAGGTGCTGTATGTGTGTGTGCTGTATGTTTGGAGGGATTTGGCAGATTAGTAAATCATTGCTGCCATGTGCCATCCCTGGTGGTCCAGTGGAGAGTGAACTCTAGCCTGCAGGGCTAGAGTTAACTCTCGCGAGATCTGAGCGTTGCTGCAGCAACGCTCAGATCTCGCGAGAGGAACCTGGCGGAGCTTCTGTCTAGAGCTCCCTGGGTCCTCTCCTGCCTCCCTCCATGCTGCTGTGGGCCGGTGAGGTAGATCTTTGGTCTCCCCGCCGGCCCATGGAGGCTTAGAGCAGAGCCGGCACTCAGATAGCGCTGGCTCTGCGTGTGTGTATGTATATATATATATATATGCGTACACACACACACTCACAGACACACACATACACTCACACATACATACACTCACAGACACACACACTCACTGACACACTCAGACACACACATTCACAGACACACACACAGTCACTCAGACACACACTCACTGACACACTCAGCCACACACATTCACAGACACACACACACAGACACTCAGACACACACATTCACAGACACACACACAGACACTCAGACACACAGTCACTGACACACTCAGACACACACATTCACAGACACACACACACAGACACTCAGACACACACTCAGACACACACATTCACAGACACACACACAGACACTCAGACACGGACTCACTGACACACTCACACACACAGACACTCAGAGACACACACACACAGACACACACAAGAACAAATTATAAAATTTTAATTTAAAAAAAAATGTCCACCCAGCCTCCTACCTGGAGTGCTGGCGTGGACTTTTCCCTGGGGTCCAGTGGGGCGGGCGCCTCTCTGCAGCTCAGCCGCGGCGAGGGAGCTCTCTGCTGTCTGCTCTCTGCTCCCTCAGCAGAGAGCAGACAGCAGAGAGCTCCCTCGTCGCGGCTGAGCTGCAGAGAGGGGGTGCGGATCCATCACCTCTTGCCCCCCCATGACAGGGGCAAGAGGTGAAACAGGGGGTGCTGAGTGCCTGCAGGAACAGCGTTCCTGCTCAAAAAAAAAAACGCTGTTCCTGCAGGACTCAAACCATAGGTGTGCCACGGGGATTAGGGTGTGCCCAGGCACACCCGGCACACCCCGTGCGCACGCCGATGCTGGTAAGCCTAATGCATTTTTTTTGTTGCCTTCAGTAGTGCACATTTTAAATAATCCCATTTCTCTTGGACTCCATTTAAATTGCTCCAGTCTGATGAATATGTGTGCTCCTGGCACACACACATACACTGCTGTGTGTGCTGTTAGTGTGCTGTGTGCTGTTAGTGTGATGTGAGGGTGTTTGTGTGTGTTTGTGACTGTGCTGTTTGTGTGTGAGGGTGTTTGTGTGTGTATGTTTGTCATGTGAGGGTGCTGTTTGTATGAGTGTCGTATTTGTGAGGGTGCTGTTTGTGTGTGTGTGTTTGTGAGGGTGCTGTTAGTGTGCTGTGTGTGAGGGTGTTGTGTTTTTTTTTAAAGGTGCTGTGTGTGTTTGTGAGGGTGTGGTAGTGCCGTATGTGTCTGTGCTGTATGTTTGGAGGGATTTGGCAGATTAGTAAATCCTTGCTGCCATGTGCCATCCCTGGTGGTCCAGTGGAGAGTGAACTCTAGCCTGCAGGGCTAGAGTTAACTCTCGCGAGTTCTGAGCATTGCCGCAGCAACGCTCAGATTTTGGTTTTCCAGTTCACATCAGGAAGATTAAAGTCACCCATGATGATAACTTAACTCCTTAATTGTAATTTTAGTTATTTCCCCAACTATTAGATTATCTAACTCTTCTATTTGTCCAGGGGGCCTATAAATCACACCTACACGAGTTACTGTGTGATTACCAAATTCCAACTTAACCAAAACGGACTCTATGTTTGCCTCACTAACTTTTATTAGTCTAGATTTTATGCTATCCTTCACATACAGGGCCACCCCTCCCCCTTTCTTGCCTTCTCTGCCTTTTCTATCTAAAGAGTACCCTGATATTGCTTTGTCCCAGTCATTGTTCTCATTATACCATGTTTCAGTAACAGCAACTAAATTTACATTATCAATTGCCATTATTACCACAAGGTCATGGATCTTATTCCCTAAACTGCGAACATTTGCAGACATGACTCTAAGCTTGTAATTTTTGACTTGCTACAGGCACTTTCTGTCCTTGTTCTGGGGGGAAATTGGGTTGATGTTTTATCACCCTTTTGCCCCCCCCCTCCACCCCTCCTAGTTTAAATATGTCCTAGCGAAACCTCTAAACTGCTCACTGAGAAAATTTGTTCCCTTTTGAGAAAGACGCAAACCATCTTTTTTGTACAGTTTAGTTTCATTCCAAATAGAGCTACCATGTGAAATGAAGCCAAATCCTTGCTTCCGACACTATTCACCAAGCCACAAGTTAAAGTTCCTAATACGCATCCGCCTGTCAGTTTGAGTGTTATGCACAGGCAGAACTTCAGAGAATGACAGTGTGGAAGCAATCTGCCGTATATCATTGGCAAAACACAAACTTCCTTTACCTCTGAAACCTCATTGCAAGCCAAATCATTTGTCCCTAGATAGACAAGTACATCCAATTCCCCTTCCTGCTTTGCTCGCTTAACAATATTACAAATATGTCTCCTGTCTCTGTGAGCAGTAGCTCCGGGAAGACATCTCACAAGACCACCATTGTCCATCTCCACACCTCTTATGATAGAATTCCCCAACAACAACTGCTTTCTATCAGGCCTCACCTTATTCTTTTTGTCATTGGCTGCAGTCTTCCACAGCATTGACATAGAGGATTGTGGTTCCACAAACTGGTGCCTGAGCCTGTCTCCATAACACCACTACACTCAGTGCCCGTGCCTGTTTCCATAACACCACTACACTCAATGCCCGAGCCTGTCTCCATAACACCACTACACTCAGTGCCTGAGAATGTCTCCATAACACCACTACACTTGGTGCCTGAGCCTATCTCCACAACACCACTACACACAGTGCCTGAGCCTGTCTCCACAACACCACTACACTCAGTGTCTGAGCTTGTCTCCATAACACAAGTATACTCTGTGCCTGTACCTGCCATAACACCACTATACTCCGTACCCGAGCCTGTCTCCATACCACCAATACACTCAGTGCCCAAGCCTGTCTCCATAACACTACTACACTCGGTGCCTGAGCCTGTCTCCATACCACCAATACACTCAGTGCCCAAGCCTGTCTCCATAACACTACTACACTCGGTGCCTGAGCCTGTCTCCATAACACCACTACACACAGTGCCTGAGCCTGTCTCCATAACACAACTCCAATCGGTGCCTGAGCCTATCTCCATAACACCACTACACTCAGTGCCCGAGCCTGTCTCCATAACACCACTACAGTCGGTGCCTGAGCCTGTCTCCACAACACCACTACACATGGTGCCTGAGCTTGTCTCCATAACACCACTATAGTTGATGCCTGAGCCTGTCACCATAACACCAGTACACTTGGCGCCTGAGCCTGTCTGCATAACACCACTACACTCAGTGCCCGAGCCTGTCTCCATAACACCACTGTAATGGAGCTCCCTGTACCCCTGGCTGGGTACCGTCGCCAAGGACCGCATCCCAGATGGAACAGAGGACAAACTGCAGCACCGGAACTTGTTTCCCTTGTTCTTGGAAACATTTCCACCGAACAGTGTCTTTCTAAGTGTTGTAGAACTGAACACAGGCGATCATGGAAGTCCAGTGGTGTTCAGGAGTTTCATTGTCCGAAAATAGTTCCATGATTTCGACGACTAAACACTGCTGCCTCGTGTTCATGCCAACAAGATGGCTGCCACCTCATGGTCACCAGATGAACACTTAGAATACTGCTGTGGAAATTGCTGCAAAGTGTCAATTAGGCTTAACAAGCTCCAGGGTAGTCTCCGGTTCGTGTAGCTGTTCGGTTCCCGAAGCATATAGTCCAAATACACGAACAGAGACTTTTACATTACATTTTAAAGAGTCTATAGTCTGTCGGCGGGAGGCAGGCAAGCAGGCTCCTCCAGGAGCTCGTGGCAAACTCACTTGGAAAGGGGAGTTTGTCACAATCACTACACTCGGTGCCTAAACCTATCTCCACAACACCACTACACTCAAGGCCCAAGCCTGTCTCCAAAACACCACTACACTCTGAAAGTGCTGAAAATGAAATATGCAGGTCCACAAACTGTGCAATATGCCTTTTATCCACAGACTGCTTAAAATTGGTTTTACAATATTCATTACACATTACTTGCCAGGCTTGTACTGATATAAGGGATCTCTGTCTCATTCATTGTAATGAATGGGTTAAAATTACCCAGCAGTGCCATTGTGCATTTTGAGCACCTGTAGAATCCTCCATCTTGTATGCTTTAGTTCAGATGGGGTGTTTTTTTTCTTCTGTGATTTGTGTACAAGCAAGCTACAAATCAACAGCCCCCCCTGAGGGATATACTTTAATCAAGTAAAATATGAAAGATGGATTTAACAGTTTCATGGTTGGGTACACTAACAATTAAACGTGGCATTCAATTTTACTTCATTAAACTGCCTGGTACTGCTGTGCATTCAAGCTGTTGGATTGTGAGATTCCTGCCGGTCTCTAGAGATAACATGTGCCTCTACTAAAATAAAAATCACCTAATTATCATGT